GGGGGACGACTGTCGGGTACGTCCAATATAGCACTGTGCTGCCTGCTCGGCGCGCGCCGCGCTGCCTTCCAGCCGCCCTCCTACCCTCTTGCACTTTATTAGAGTCCATCAACAATATCTCGATTGGCGTATTTCATCTGATGATGCTGTGAGAGGACTGCGACGTTGGGGTCGTCGTTCTGCCCCTCAAAGTGCGGCTGGCCCAGCGTACTGCTGCTGGCGGAGACTTCCATCGCCTACAATACGTGAAAATGGAAATGATGCAAATCCGTCTTTGAATCGGAGTCGTTGCCACTCTTCGAGATAAAACCGGCGTCTTAGTTTTCACGCAGTTTTGAAAAAAAAAAAAAAAAAAAAGGTTCCCGTGACGTAAGTTCCCGTGACGTTTGGCTCATGCTTTGAAAACAAGTCGTCGATTTTACCGTGATGATTCCTCAGTGTCTGTCAGTACGTTAAGAAAATGTAAAACTCGGATACCAGTTTCTGTACGAATTGCCATAATTTGTAATACGCGCAAGTGCGCTTAATGCGTGCAAACGAAAGTTCTTTTATTGTTACTACAGCCGGAATCGTCTTGCCCCACGTCTTGTTTCGCGCGCGCTCTGACTGGCGCACGTTGCGCGGCCCGGGTAAGGTCAGGAGGAGGGGGACTCTTTGTCGGCGGCCGTGTTTGACCGCGTCGCCTATGTGCGTGAGGGGCACCTGGGGCTCCGGGCGGCCGCTCATGGGCGGGGCGCTCGGTCGCTCTTTCCCGCAGGGGGGCCATCGTTGTGCTCCCCCTTTCCCCTCGCCCCCTTTGGGGGGGCACCTCCCTCATACCCTCTCTTTGCCCTTCGGAAGGATCCTCAGGGAAAGATAGAAGGGGGTGGCGGTGGGCGCGGTGGGAGGCTTGACACGACGCGACGCCAGCGGGACGCCCCGGAGCGTGCGCGCAGGCGCCCTTACACACACGCACACACGCGGCTCCAACACTGCTTTAAAATGCATAGAGTTATGGAAATGCGACATATTTCGCTCCGCCTTATTCATCAGGTGGAGGCGTGCAGGCCTGACCAGCGCCTGTCGCCGCGTACCTGACCGTGTCGTCGCGATGCAGTGCCGGGCGGCACACTTTGTTACTACGGCCCCGCTTTACGTTAGGTGCAAGTGGATAAAATCCGTCCGCATCGTGAATACTTTGACCCATATTGCAAAACATGCCTTCAAGCAGTAAGCCTCGTGTCGAGACCCCGTAATATCTTTCACCGTCAGTCACATCACTTTGCGCACGAGTACATCCACATTTGCGATCTTGCGCTTGTACAAGAATATGTTTAACACATCCGTCAGGAAATGATACTGCGGCGCGACCGCGACCAGGTCATTCGCCTTCATGCAAGCGCACAGTGCACGCCCGTCGCGCTACAATTGCCTCACCTGCATGCGCCTGTGGATGTGTGAGTAGGCCAGCCCTCTGAGCACCGTATCCCGCCTGTTTGCCTACCCTAACCCCTGCGCGCCTGCGGATGTGCGAGTAGGCAAGCCCGCCGAGCACCTCACCGCGCGTGGTTGCCTACCCTAACCCCCGCGCGCCTGCGGATGTGCGAGCGGGCATGCCTGCCGAACGCCTTATCACGCCTGGCGGCCCACCTACTCCCACCCGGGCCAGCAGCGCCGTGCGAGGAAGGCCCGCGCACAGGTGAGCGGTGGTGTGGGTGTGGAGGGGGATCGGCCGCTCGGCCTACTGGAGCTCACGGCGCTGATTGCGTCCCGGGGGAGACGAGTCAACAGCTGGAGCCGGGGCCGGAGCCGCTGCTGGAGAGTCTCTGGAGGAAAGAGTCGCGGCAGTGTACTCATCAAGAGTTGTGTGCGAGGTCTGGCCCGACTGGAGGCAGCAGCAGGTAGGTGCCCGGCGCCCGGCCGGGCAAGGGGCTGGGCAAGGCAACCAGAGGGTGGTGGTCGCGCTGCTGCTCCGACTGATATCAAGTTTCGACGCCCCTGACATGTCGGCCCGCCCCGCCACGCCCCGCCACCCTGCCTATGTGAACTTGACGTGGCGCCGTCCCGTCACGCGCCCTGATGGCATTTCGCCTCGCTCCCTCCTCTCCCCCTTCAAGGTCCCGAGCGATAACGAATGGCGCCTCCTGACGAGTCTGTACTCGTGTGTGAGCGTGTGTGGTCGTGCGCGTACGTTGTCTATAAAATAAGGATTACTACATATTCAAAAATGTAAAAAAAAGAAAGAGCCAGTAGGTAACACGATTCCTGAGAATTAAGGTGTAATTATTTTTTTAAGACATTGAAAGCTTGAAAGCAGCTAGTCTCGATATGGCACAGGTGCCTGAAAAGTAAACAAGTCTTCTCTGCGGAGGAAATCTACCCATTTGTATCTGATTTGAATCCGAGCTGCGACCCAGCAGCAGTGTGTCGCCGTCCTGACGAGTGGAGCCTAAAGAGAAAAGAGGAAATTTGGTAAAGCGGGGTAGGAGATAAGAAGTAGTGCGTGCGTGTGTGCGCTCGCGCGTGATCCGGACGCGGTGGGGGCAGAGGGAGGTCCTCAAGTGATTTCGGGTCGGCGGGCGCGAGGGCGGCATAGGCAATGAGCATGCTGAATATTTCATACCAGTTACCCAGTGGAGGCGCGCCGTGCACTTTGTTTAAAGATTATCCGAACAACAGGGGGCGTGTAGCGGTGAAACGGGGGCAGATTCGGTAACACCTTTTTGAGTTACACCCCAAACTTCCCTCCCGAAAAAAGTATGTAGTAAAATTTCAAATATCTTAACGTTATAACAGCAAGTACACGTGACAGAGGTTTTTTTTTCCTTTTGTAAACGGTTGTGACAGTATCCCGAATACGCGTTTGCTGTGAGAGCCCTAGCAGCACACTCCTGGTTTTGTGTCTACAGACCCTCCTGCTCCGAGTGCAAATGCGGGGCGAATCACTGCCCAGCAGCGGCAGCCCCTCTCTCCTCCTGCCGTAAGCAGCCCCCTTGCCGAGCAGCAACGCTTTGTACGCCCGTGTTTTGACCCTCTAGCAACAACAACCTGTGGGGAGGCGAACCAGGCGGGGGCGGGGCCGCAGCACGGGCCAAGACCCACAAACAAACTGGGTAAGTGCGGCGGGAAATAAAACGGATGCAAAACAGTCGCGGCGATGTAAACGATGGGATGATTTTAATTTGAGGCTTTCCCGTCATATTTCTGTTTTGTAGTATTTGTGTGTGCCGCGGTATAATTGCACCACCCGGGTATCTGAAAATAAGTGCCTGACAACTTTAATGTCTAATTTTTTCATTTTTATAGAACAGGGGCATGTTGTTCAACATCAGGCCAAGCCCACACATGCATTATCATGTTCGGATTTTAGCTAAAAAGTGAACAAGCGACAAGTATATATAGTATTCTTCGCAACGATGAAGCGTGCGGCCGTGTGCATTGAAGGGGGGGGGGGGGCGCCTTTTGGCTCCTCCTGTCAACCCCGTGTCCCGTGTTGCTGGCCGGCCTCCCCCCTGCCGCGCGGCGGGAGGCTAGCGTCACGACTCTGCACTGCGAGCCGCGCGCGCCTCCTGCGGCTTTTGGCTCGGTCGCGTGACACGACGCCACGCCACGTCACGTTGATCCCGGATCTCTCGCTTTTCCCGGCCCTCTGTTTACATGCACGCCGATGGCCACGGGGTCGGGGGAGAGGCAAGTTCAGGGCAGGATGGTGCGATGGATTTACTTCTGTCGTTCCCGCGGTCGTAATGCACCTCAAGTAAGTGTGTCGTTCTCGTGGCATGGTTTTCGTTTACTATATAAGAAATGATAAACGCCTTCAGAATTCTTAGTTTTGTGTTTGTTTGTACCGGCCCCATTTCACTCTTTCCTCTACTCCCAACCCGCCCACGTTCTCTTTCACTTCTATCACTGAAAAAAAAAAGTGACTTGCCGGGAAAAATACGCTTAATAAAAGTGCAAGAAATTTTGTATATGCATTTATGATTTAAAAATAGTGATTTGATACTCCATTACTAGCGGCTTTTTCTTTTTTCCAAAAAATCCGAACCGATTGGCCAGTGATAAATGCCATCATTTCACAGACAAAACCTTTGCTGTGCAGCAGACTTCTGCTTGAGCTCTAGTTCACTCGGTCATTGACATTCTTGGAGGAGTCATACGCATATCGATTTCCCTATGCTTTATAACGTTAATTTTGCTACTGTTTGCCTCCTTCCCCACCTCTGCCGTTCTTTATACTATTTTTGCGAAATGAAATGGTGAAATGGGATACGCGGTTCGCGTCGAGCTGGCTCCAAATCAAGTGCTCTATTCGTATGCAATCCCTCCGCCTCTGCCTCTTTGCTGCTGGCAGACGCGGCAAAGAGGGGCTGGGGGCCCAGGAGCAGGGGCTGGCTGACTGACATGCGTCGGCCTTACATACATACCCACTTCACGTGCGCGCGGCGCGGCTGGCGCCGTACTGCGGGCCGGGCGGCACCCACCCGTCAGCCGCACGCCGGCTTCTTCCAGATGAGGCGCGATGCGCGGTGCGTCACCGGTGTGAGCCTGGACCGGGTCAGCTGCGCGCCTGATGGGACACTTCTTGTCAGCGCTCTGCGCATCACTTCGACTGCTATAGCGGCAAAAGGTGATCGCGAAGTGTCCAGGTTTAAAGTAAAGCTGGGCTTTACTGTTTTAGCATTAAGTTGGAACAAGTTACAATAACACACACGGACAGAAAAGATTTGCTGCCACTGCTGTTTTATCGCTGCGGTAGCAATATTTGACTTCTTACATAGCGCCTACAATATTTCTAGCTATGCCAGCAAACTTAAATTGCTTAATGTTTCTTTGTTGATGCAGCAACGGAATTTTCTGGTGTTACAATCCCAGTCAGCCGCGTATGGAATAGCAATCGCTGGAGTTGCTCTCTCAGCAGTCTATATTGAAGCAATGGGTGCAAGCGGATCTGCTGTGGTATCAATATTGCCCCCCCCCCCAATATTGAATATGGATATGGTAGAAATGAAAAGGTCGTATTTCATATATTGTTTCCTTTCATTTCGCTAAAAACATATGACGTAGCACATGACATAATAGTGAAAAAATATCGTTCAAATTAAATATTTTTGGTGACATAACCTTTATCAGATTCCAACACGGACGAATCTTGGACAACCACCACTTGTTGTCGTATGTTGTTTCTTAACTCCCAAAAGTGATCAGAAATGGAAACAACACTTTACCATTAAAAGAAAGCAATGTTCATAGAGTTCATATGCGAGTAATCCGGGGAGAAAGCTGTCACTGATAAATGTCACTTCTGCGACTGTGTCCATAACCAAACATAACCTCAACGCGTCACTCAACTCATCACTCGATACAACAAATCAAAAGGCGTCTATCCCGGAGAAGCAGGACAAAAGTAAATAAGAACACTTCACTGTAGGGGATTTTATCGTAAATTAACGAACAAACACCTGTTAAATTTTATACACTATATTGTTTCGTTATCGATTTGAAAACGAATACTTGTTAAATGACGAAAAGTTCGTAATTTTTTCTAGATATGTAAGTTATCCATGTCATTGTGCACCCCTGTCAACAAGTGTGCGTCTATAAATTTACGAACAATTTGTTTATTGCCTACGAACAGTTCGTATTTTTGGATTTGACGAACATTGTTCGTAAAAGCAGAATACGAACTGTTCGTGAGGAATTTTATCGTAAAATTACGAAATCTACTACACTCTCATTTCCCTATGGATGTGCTATCCGTATGTTATGGAGAATTTTGTGCTAACATATTATGGATCACAAATTATCCATAATATGGATAAAATTGTCCGTATTACAGACAATTAGATCCATATTACAGACATGCCCTCCTCCGTAAGGTATAGACCTTTCGTCCATACCCTACGGATGAAGGCATCTCGGCATCTCTGTAATATGGATCAAATTGTCTGTAATACGGACAATTTTATCCATATAATGGATAATTTGTGATCCGTAATATGTTAGCACAAAATTCACCGTAAGCGTGTCCATAAGGAAATGAGAGTGTAACAGTGTTCAACTCAGAAGGTCAATGTGGGAACGTCCGTGCCCCTCACTTGGTGAAATGTGGGAACGGTGATGGCGATGGCACAGACCGGGTCAAAAGTTGCAAGAACTGTAAATGCATCAAACCGGCTTGCTGTTATTGCTAGATGTCGGCAGCTGGATTCGTAGCTGCCTTCGAATTGTTACGACGGCAACGTGATCGCTGGTAGAGCAAACTTGATTGCTGTGATAGCTATTTAGTTCCTAACAACCTATACTTTGCTGGGAGTGCAACCTGACATTTCTCTCCGTGCACGTAGCATCAGCTCCCCCCGGCGCACAGATGGCGCGACCACCTTTGCCTAGCTGGCGAGTGGAGGAGAGGTATTCGGTGGAACGCAATACGCTCTGTGGAGGAAGATAAAACACGTGTCGCTCAGCAGCGCACGTCCTCCTGCCGGCTCTTTACCACCTCCCGGCCCTGAATGGATACAGCTCGCGGGGTAGATGAGGTCCCGAGCCATGTGTCGTTAAGTATACGGCGCCCCTCGGGGCAGGGGGCTGCAGCCCTCATTTCCCCCGCGGCAGTAACCGCGCTCCACGACCACGAACTTGATCGCACGTCTTCAGAATCTTTCATAGCTCAAGCTCTTGCCGCGTGGAAAAAAACAATCCCTTGTATCCAAGCAAGTGTACAGCAAGTGATGAGTGCACTTGCTCAAACATGGAAACTCCTCAAAGTTTTCAGCACTTTTAAAAGCTTACAGTGATTTTCACCGTAAGCTACAGTAAAAGCCTGCAGCACCGTAGCTTACAGTGAGATTCACCGTAGCTTACGGTGAATTTCACTGTAAGCTACAGTGAATCTCACCGTAAGCTACAGTAAATCTCACCGTAAGCTACAGTGCTGCAGGCTTTCACTGCAGCTTACAGTGAAAATCAATGTAAGCTTTTTACAGTGCGCTTTTCCTTAAAAAATGAGACTTTTTTACCGTGTACAGAAGGAAACAAATAGCTGACCCAACCGATAACCGATCCACACATCCGGGGTCTTGAGCAGGCGGACTGGGAAAGAGTGACTTTATAGTAGCGTAAAATACCGCATTTCTTATGGGGAAAGTTTGAAGCATTGCTCGTTATAATAAATATTGTTGTACGATTTAGGTGGTGTCAGGGGTGGGGTACGCGTATTTCGCACTTATCCAACCATAACGTACACGGCCATTGCGACCAAAGCAGCTATTGTGCCATGGTACAATTTCATCAGCATCTTAAGCCTGTAAGAAAATTGTCGCTTAAATAATCCGACCAGAAAAAATATACATTTGTGCCTATCTAGAAAAACTGCGATAGCTCGTAGGAGGAACTTACTTAGGGATTTGATCGACGTTTTCGGGTTTTACTTCCTCCTTCAGTGTGTAGACCATCACGCCCCTTACACAATTGTAGGCCCAGTCCATTAAGGTTTCTTTGCTGGCTCTGGCGCCGTAGAAGTCCAGAGTGCTGTATGCTTCCTCATCCTTGGGGTGTATAATGGTCTGAAGATAATTTTGGTTTTCCATTCCAAAGTTAAAGGTTTTCATAAACGGCTCGGTCGCTTGAAGTCCCACCATCACATTGCGTTGGTACATTAGCAGCCTGTTGTTCCATATATAATAAATTAATAAGTGTTTTAGTGGTTTTCAACATCAGCTTCGTACGGTTGACAGGTATATCTAAGAATACTTCACCTTGGTTTTCGACCAGTGAGCCTAGCAGCCGTGTCAAGGACTATGGAGAACAGTATGTGATGGTACCAATGTAGCATCGTATAGAGCACATAGTTCTTTGCTTGGACCGTTTTTGGGTCGCGGACACAACCAGGAAAGGCTATCCTGTTCGAAAGATTCTCCACGCCAAACGCCATGTCTTTGTGCGTAACACCGAGTCTTTGGTCACCGGGCGTAGTAGCGTTGACGACGTTGGCACCTCTGCGGACGCTCTCCTCTGCACTACGCATAGACCAGGTACCGTAGATTCAATAAAAGATGATTTTTCCAATTTTGCAATCACATTAGAGACCTTCCTCTCCCCACCTCAGACTGAAGTTCTGGCCGCACACCCAGGAAGCCAAGATGGTGTTCTTGACGGCCAAGTCAGCAGGCACTGTGTTAAATATGACTGGATTTGGTTCGTACAGAACGCGGATCAAGCCCTTCCCGCCGGCAGCCCACATACCGCCCATGCCGTTTAGGTTGTCGATCCAGCCGGGAATCGGGTCCTTGTACGCGGGGATGACTGCAGATCGCAAGTTGGAGTTCGTTAGCAAAAATTATTTCCGTCACTGAAAACTCATGAATGGTGCGTTGTCACCCGTTTACTGTTTGCGGGTGATAGCTGGCGTTTACAAGGTGCCCAGCTAGAAATGCACTATCGAATCGACGTCAAATGAACGTTGACACCGTTTTTCGCCGAGTTTGCGGCCAAATCAATGTAATATTGGGCCGCAAATCGACAAAATTAAATTTCAATTTTAATTTAACGTTCAACCGTTATTGCATTTCTCACTGCGGTGGCGCTATGCGCCGTCCTAGAAGATGCTTATGCATATGTGAACATTGTCCCCATAGCCGTCATGCCTAAGGGCTCCAAATCAGTCTGCATCCAGGACAATATTTGTCCCAAGGGAGCCAAGCGGGCACCCTGCACTGTAAATTGCTTACGAACAATAGGTTCGTAATGCAAACCAAAACGTTCGTAGCTGGCGAAGGATTTTAAATCATTGTATTACGAACAAATAGTTCGGAATGCTAACCGATTGTTCGTAAGACTCTGTTTAGCCTCACAAACAATCGCCTTGCAATACGAACAATTTCTACGCAACACAAAGAACGGAAATTGTTCGTAACGTTGCAAAGTATTTACTTCGTAAGCTTTTTTCAGTGTGTGCTTGTGCTCTGAGGGGCAATATTCGTCGTCATTACGAGATGGGGTAGTGACAATATTTTTAGATGAACACTCTCAGCTCGTTACTGACATTTTGCAAATACACAATGAACTTCCTTATACAGCAGTAATACTCCCAAAATTGCACGTAATACTCACAAATTTAGTAAGTAATACTAATTATTTTGTTAGCAAGTACTTATGATCATCTTCCTAAGTAATTCCTTACAAAATAATTAGTATTACTAACTAAATTTGTGAGTATTACGTGCAATTTAGTGAGTATTACTGCTGTATAAGCAAGTTCATTGTGTATTTGCAAAGTGTCAGTAACGGGCTGAGAGTGAAGGGCATCATTTTACAGGAACTGAGGTCCGCCATTCACTGTACACCTGTTGGCTTCTCTTAGCGCCAAATTATTTGCGTCTTACAACGTCAACATTTGGAGTTCTTCACAGTAGGCCAATATATTGGCATGAAAAGACGCCAACCAGTATACAGTCATTATGCCATTCTACGGTGACGAATATCTGCCCCGTGTAGGACATCACCCAAGCTTTAATTTCTGGTCGGTATAGGTGGCTCAACCTACCGATGGAAGGGCGGACGATGATGACGGGAAGCTCTTCGGCGACGTCGTCTATCACCTTCTCGGCCATGGCCTTTGTGAAGGTGTACGTGTTGACGTGGAAGCCGCGGAGCCTTCGGAGAAAGACATGCCAGTTTAGAGTATCGGGAGCCAACTTGCGACCCTGTAGCACTTGGTACTCACTTGTGCCCCAGGCAGTCCATGGCCCACAGGTCGGCGCTGCTCATCTCCTCGGCCATGCGGATCGCGCTCCTCCAGTCCACTTCCGTCGGATACACCTTCTCTAGCACCGGGTCGTATTGGTCCATGTTGGTGTAGGCCGTGGACACGTGCACCAAGGCTGCTATCCGCATGCCCCGGGCCAGCTCCACCACCTCTCGCGTGCTGCGGACGTTGGTTAATATGGCCTTTTGGATGGGGTCGTCGAAGCGCACGGAGGCCGCCACGTGGTACACGACGGACACCTCCCTGCGCACCAGGTCCTGGTGCTGGCGGCTCAGCCCGAGGCCCAGCGCGGTGATATCCCCCGGGAGCACGATGATCTTGGACAGTGCATCGGGTTGTTCGGCACGCAGCCTGTCAAACAACTGTAACATGTTGTGTTGGTTGCTGGTGCAAACAGCAGCAAACTCGGGCTACGCGTAGCTACGTGACACTTACCTGGACAGAAACCAGAGCCTGGAGCCTGCGCTCAGGGGATTCCCCTTTCTTGGCCCTGAGGACGATGTAGATGTTGCCTATATCTCGACATGTCCGCAGCAGCTGCTCGATGAGCATCCGCCCCAGGAAGCCGGAGCCACCCGTCACGAGGACGTGGCGGCCCTTGTAGAAGTCGGCTACAGACGGTCGCTTGCTGCGCTCCTCGGCCGTCTTCCTTCTATTCTCGTAGATCTCATCGCGCAGCCGATGGAGGTGCTTTGCGACGTCGCCGCCAATCAGTGGACCTTCGGGTAATTTCTGGAACTGCAGTAAATGTGAATGGGGTGTGTTGACTGTTACGCGCACGCATAAACAAGCACAGCGGCCCCTTAAAATTTATTTTATTACTTCTGTTTGAGAACTAAATTAAAAGATTAAAGTGCTTGGTCGTCAAGCTGAAGTGGCAAGGTGACAACTACCAATCGAAAGCAGTCACCTCTACCTCGCAACGAAATACTGATCGAACACTTGTCCTAGTCGTTCTGTACATGACAGACCAGACGATGGTATCTAAGGTCAGTCTTAACTTACGACCTGAGAGACTAATCTGAATTTTAGATAACACATCGAAATCTACCCTAAAATTATAGACCTCAAATTTTACACTCTTAGTCGCCGAGTGACTTTTCTTGATAACTTACCAACGTAGTATTTGTGCGACGGAGAGGAATAAAACAGTTAGTAAATCATAATTGGATTGTTGATCTCCTATTTTTTGCTTAACTAAACGCTTTAGTTGATAACGGAAAACACATTTCTGGGTTAGCTTAGCTGGAACTATTCTTTTTTCCGTTGCACAGAATTGTTTATAACAAGAAACGAAAACCTCGAAAAGGAATTTAATAGTGTAAGAATTGATTCGTTCCTCACCGGCTCGTCTCTTCTTGATGGATTCCGAGTTCGAGCAGTGACGACTGCATTTTCATAGTAGGTGGCAAAAGTGGGGGGTGTAAGTGTGGGCTGACCATTCTCTGGCCTAACACTGCTGGGGCCCCGCTGTGCTAGAAAATTAAAGGTATCGTAGTTAAGGTGGGAAACGACTGCATTACACTTTGACGCAATAACGACGCAAAATAAAAGAAACACAGTGTGAAAAATACTCGTAAAGTTTACAGGAAAATTTTCCACGATGTGAGTCCGTAAAATTACAACTTGAAGTTGTAAAATTGCAATAACTTCCTATTAACTTGGAATAAATCGTGGAGCAATAATGGTCCGCCGTAAATTTACAAAAAAAAATGTTATTCCAAATTACAAGAAATGTCGTAACTTCTCGAAGAAATTTTTCACAGTGCATGTACCCTGGCATGTACATTTTTAATAAATGCAAGTTTGATTTCTACACATTTTTGAAGCTGCAGCTCGTGTCCCATGTGTCATTTAAGCGAACACATATAAATATTGTTCACAATTTATTCTATTTTAATCCCATAATTTTCGCACATTTTCTTCCCACTAAACATCTTGCCACTTTGTAAACCGACAATATTGTTTTCCATATTATTTCAACCATTTTCGTTTTCGTGCGGTAACTTTTTAATCGAAACCAGACGTGCAATTACTCGTGGCATCCCGGGCTGTTACTCTGTCCTTTAAAGGACATTACGTTATTACGAATGTGTACACCCTAAAATATATACCCTTTTCCTCACAAGCTTCGTAATATCATAGAGTTTTTGTGGAGCGGTCGGCGAGTGCCGAAAGCAGCTCGAACTCTTTTGGTTCAGCAGCAAAGAAGGTCGGACTCTTGTTAGAGCGCATCGGCCTGTTTTAACGTTTCTGTGGCACAGTGTGATTGGTCACTGGCACGCGAAATGGGGACTTACCCATGTCGGATGTTGGGGAGGGAAACACAAGGTTTGATCTGGCCTGTTACAGAGAGTCACACGATAGGATCGGGGTGCGCCAGCAGACTACCTGTCTCTTGAAGTGACCTAGTCCTACTGCCTGCCCGTGGTATTCTATTATGCGCGGCGAGCGAGCCGTGTCGCGTAAAACTAGACCCTACGCAATCCTAGCAGTAATTCATTAGGGGCCATGTCCATTACGCATGCTAAGCGATCGGTTTGACGGGTATTTCCGGCGTGAGTGTGAGAGAGAGGGGTGCAGTTAGTACAATTACACAAGAGAACGAGCCAGTGAAAAAACTCACAATTTTATTTCTACTTTCATTTTTCTAATTTTTTTTTTTTTTTTTAATTTTTGGTTTTGGTTTTCGCAACCACGTTGTGAAGAACCCGGCTCACGCTCTCGGTGATCCCGTCCTATCTCCGGGAAGCTAAGTGTGCCCATGTATTTGTAGCGTCTGTCTGTCTGTCATCTCGATAACTCGAAAACGGATATTGAGTAAGCAGGGGGTCGCAACGCAGTGCTGAGAGCGCGGCCTATGCGCGAGCCCCGGCAGTCGCCGCCCGGACGGCGCGAACCGGCCGTTCAAACCACCGCTCAGTGCTCCTCACTCGGCGCGGATCACCCACCCTGTATATATATAAAGTAGGAAAATTAACAGAAACATTCTAGGAAACTTACTTTATTTGAGAAAATGTGATTGGTTGCAGTTGAAGTGATCGGAGTGATAGGAAAATGAGTGGTATGTGATTGGAATATAATTAGTTTTAGTTTTTAGACCTTACACTGACTGGACCAAGTGAGGTACCCCTCGCCCCGCGCTGTGTGGCGTATCGTGCTTTGCGGTGTGACTAGCTGCCCCCTGCAGCGGCACCCTGTCACGCTCCGGATTGGGAGGGGCGCAGGGCCACAAGCATCGCTACACTGCAAATCTGCGGTGTCCAGCTGCTGTGCGACTTAAGTCGCACATTTGCAGGACACCTTAAATACCGGCGCCCCATTCCTGCAGAGGAACCCAGGCAGAGGTATCCACCAATAAGAGGTCGCCTACCCACCCCCCTTAGTTTGGGGTAAGAGGGTGCCTTACCCACCCAAACTAAGTTGGGGGGCAGGGGGGGGGCTTAGGCAACTTCTTATTGGACACCCCTTCCTGGTCCCTGCAGAAGAAGGGTATCAAAACTCGAGGTTTCCTACAAAATTACGACTTAAGTCGCATAGAAACCTGGGTCGTCAACTTGAGTCGCACAGCTGCTGGATATCCAAGAGTTACAGTGTAGACATCAAATAATACACCTTTTCGCGTGATTGTTGCGTTTGCAGAGTGGACGCCGCGCCCACACAAACGAGATGAATATCGGTGGTAGCAGGATGTGTTGTGTGCTGTACAGAACGGGCGCCGCAACCTCACGACGACGACAACGTGGCTTTCGTGGCTAGTTTTTTTTTAAATTACATTTTCCTGCTTCTTCCCGAGAATTTTGTTTGCGAGCGGAGCGGGCGGGTCAGGACCGGGCGGGCCGTGTAATCGTGCTCATCAGACCCCGCGCCCCCTGGACATATTATCTGATAGCAATAAATCTGACGCGTTACATCACATCACTTGGGTCTTCCCCCTGCCTGACCAGAGAGGTGTTTCTTTTATGACTTCATTTTCATTATTTTTCGCCCGTCTCGCTAGAGGCCTCTAATGGCGAGGCGCCACGCCACGGGGGTCATTATCCCAGCCGGCTGACTGCTTCTGCTGACCCGCGGACTCAACAAGCGAGTAGCAAATTGACAGGATGCAAAGGCGGCCTTGCTTCTACGAAGCCTTTCTCGCACAATTCGTTCTTTAAAACACTGAAAACCACCCAGAAATAGTTCAAAATCGTCAACTACAGTGTCTCTGGACGTAAACTTGGCATGCATTATTGTTTTTAAAAAGTCGAAAATTTTAAAGGAAGTGTCTAGGTGAGTACATTATTTGCCAATACTTTCTATGGTAAAATGGCCATGTTCTCTAAAATTGACCCACCACTTCTGTAATAAATTTACAAAAACTTCTGCAAAACCTCTAAAATTTTCAACAATGTGAAGAGGCCAAATGTGTCATCGACGGAATCGTGCGATAACTAATGGCCAATTTCTAAGAAAAATCAAATCAGTCATTTCAAAGTCAAACCCTCACTCAGGGGTTTGCGGTTCACACGAATTCGGGGGTCATGGCCCCCGTCATCGCCCTGCTCGCGTACGTGGCACTTACGCCATCCGGGCGACAAGAGACGTAGGTACAAAGGTATAGCTGGCCGGACTTCGGGGTGTAGTCCAATAGAGTAGTTCATCAGGGTGTACGTCACATTTTTTTACCATTTTTTCAGGAATTGGCCAAATAATGAAAATCGCAAAACAGGAGGTGTCGCAAGATTTTGTAATAATAGTGTCTACTGTCGGTAGTTCAACCCATGTACAATTTTATTATGTAACACCTAATTATGAAAACAAATTGTTCATTCTTAAGTAGTATTAGAAGATTTTAAATTCGCGTAGGCCTAGTAATTAACACTTTTGTTCCTGATTACGCATAAATAAATGAGCGCAGGAGAACTAAAATGCAAAGCTGCGCATTCAAAAGTGTTCGTGTCAATTCAGTACTTAAAATTTCAATTCTGCAGCTGTTACGCGTAAAGGGGGACGAGATTGGTTTTTTTTGGAGGGGGGGGGTGTTAAGGGGTGTAATCACTCGTCCTCAGATGTGGCGGTCTGATAAAGGGCCCCATTATAATTACACGATGGGGTGATTACTGGTTAAAGATTCAGTGTCATTTGAGGATCCCCAGGCCGGCCGATGGTTGGCGGGTGCGTATGTGGTGGCCGCGTTGCATGATTCATCAGCCCTGCGGCTGAGGACGGGCGCATCCCGGCTGCTGCGCCTGGGTGCCGAGCGCTGTCAGTCTGTCCACCCACACGTGCTGTGATAAAATTTGATGATCATAAAATGGCTTTGGGATTTTCACCTTTACGAACGGCTCACCTACATTACTTGTCACCGGCAAGAAAACTTTTTTGGATTTATTTCGTTTTTATTTTTACTATTACGTACGGGTCACACCGTACGTAATAGTAAACGCCTCCAGCTCGGCCTGTTGTGTTGTCCCGCCTGCTGCAGTGTACGGGCGTGCCTGACTGGTGGGGTTTAAATATTTAGCTCCGGTTTGGGGCCACAGGCCAACAGACAGACCACCGGCCGGGGTGGTGTGGTGTCAGTGTGGTGTGGAGGGTAGGAGAGGGGGGGGGGTGTCAGTGCAGACGGTGTAAGGGCTAGCGCAGCGAGTTCTGGATTGGGCGACACGGTAACGTTGCCAGTTTGGCTGTCGTGTCTTAAGATGGTTTGGTCGGGTTCAGTAAATTGGTGCGGGACTACTCTACCACCCCTTCCCCCTCTACCAACCACAACACTAATGTTTCTTTATGTGGGAATGAGGACGAAAATTAGAATTCACTAAAGGAGGCACGAACCAATAATTCTTTTCACGGCAGCGATTCCGCTCGAGTAAGTAGAAAAACGCAGCTTATTGTTACAATTTCTTTTCGCTGAGCGAAGCTCAGTCCAAGTCGATGAGGGGTCAGGCGATGTCTCCGTCGTGAGTCTGTCTGTAACATTCCGTATCTCCTCAAAATCTTTTGCACTCACAGCGAGAAGCGGGTTTGTCTAAGAATCGATAATTTACGAGGATTATCTGTGTGCATTATTTCATGCATTGGTCAGCTTTGAAATATTCAATCGTTTAATTTAAATTCGCGCGTAGTGCGTTGGTATGTTGGCAGCACTGTACTCGAGTGGGTGAAGAGCACCAACGACTCCGGCGCTCACTTCGCGTCTTTGATACTCTCTCACAAGTGATTTAAGTGTCAGATTGTCAAACCGAGTGTGTTACTTTTAGTTTTAAATTTGCGGAACTCGACCTACGAAGTTTCGCGAGTATCCGGTGAGAAGAAACGAAAGTGATAATTTGACTGATTTACGTGGTAACTTACGTAAGTTGGAGGGGGGAGGGGGCTAGGGGTTCGGGAGAAATCTGAAAAGGTAACTATTGTTTCGAGTTCATCTTGACAAAAGAAAACGAAAATGTTTTATGCTCCAAAACGATAGGAATCGAAATGGCAGAGTTATTACCCCCCAATTTGACAATTTGGTCGTTTTTGCACACATTTATCCTTTTGGGGGCTAATAACTTTGCTATTTCGACTCTGATCGGCTTTCAGCATAAGACATACCCTTTTTTATTTTCAGAAAGGAATCCAAATCTTGTATTGCACTTTTAATTTTGTAACTTTTAAAAAATCCTGATTTTCAACTGTTATTTGAACAAAATATAATGGTGTTTACTTCTAGAATGATTGGAAGTCACCTAATCTTTAAATAGGACATGTCAAAACGATTATTAAACAGACAACTTATTTTCACAGTAGCAATGGACTTGCAAGGGACCGAACAAAATTATAGCCAATATCGTAAACTCAGGTAAAATGGACTCATTGAAATCAGAACAAGATATATCTTTTTCTTACATTGATTAGCTTTGTCTGGAGTCACATTATGTTAAATGATTTCAAAAAAATGGTGCAAAAAAATGGTGGGCATTGAAATTAAACTCTATGTACGCAACATTATAGAACTTTTAATTTATTATACTTCAGTGACTCGTAATCCTTCAAAGGCCTCAGAGAGATCTGATAAAAATGAATCAGAGAGTGACAAGTTATACTTTTCGTATAAGAGAAGTTTAAATGTATTTTGAAATCAGATTAAAGATTAGGATATTCAATTGCACTTCAACCAGACGCAATCTAAAAGAATTTCACCTTTACCAATAAATGGAATTGAATAAAATAGAAGCATCATGCAATCATATGGCATTACAGAAATGGGTAAATTAAGTAGGGGGAGGGCAGTGGGGAAAGGGACAGTAGCAGACATGTTCTGTATATGAACTGCAGGAACGCATTAATTTAAGCCCCCCCCTCTATATATAGCCACTGTTACAGTTATGTGTTTACCAAAACAAATCAACCATTTACATTTGATAATTAGAAACCAGGCTTACCAGTGTCAAGCCTTTCTAGTGGACTTCCAAATTTATTCTATTG